GCTTTTCATCAGCAAGTGCTTCAAGTCCTCTTCACTTTCAGCAAGCCAGGTTGGTCATCTACATATCAGAAGTTATTAATGAGCTTTCCTCTCATCGTAATGCTGAATTAATTCTTTATATGGTTCAGCTCCTCAAATTACTTGCTCAGTATACAGATTAAATATGGTGAAAGGATATTACCTTGACACACACATTTCCTGATTTGAAAACATGCAATGTTCCCTTGTTCTGTTTGATAGACCGGTGGTCCACATACACAATTTTCATGAGCATAATACAATGTTCTAGAATTCTTATTCTTCCCAATGTTATCAAGTATTTGTCATCATCCACTTAATTGAATGCCCTTGCATAGATAGCCAACCAAACACAGGTAAACGACTTTCTGGTGATCTCTGTTTTCAGCTAAGATCCATCTGGAATTCGTGATGTTGCTCATTCTGCATCATCTTCTGAACTGGACTCGAATTTCTGGAAGCTCACTATTCATGGATATCAATGATCTTGTTTGATCATTGCCACATTCTGTTGGGTCACCTTTCTTTGAAGTGAACACAACTATGAATCTCTTTCAGTTTGGTTTACCAGTTTGGCTCTCTTCCAAATTTCTTGGAATGAATGAATTTACATCTGGTGGCATAGCGGTTATGAATTAGGCCACTAGTCACAAGGTCTGTAGTTTGAAACTACCAGCCTCTTCAAAGGAGAAAGACCAGGCCTTTTACAACTCGGAAACCCACAGGGGTAGTTCCACCATGTCCTGAGAGGGTCGCTATGCGTGGGAATCACCTAGATGGCAGTGAGTTTGAATTTGAGTTTCCTGAGCTGTGAGAACATAAATTTCTAGTGGGAGCCCTGGTGGTATAGTGGTTATGCTGTGTGCTGCTTAACCACAAGGTCAGCAGTTTGAAACCACCAACTGGCCCAAGGGAGGAAGATGGGGGCTTCTACTCCTGTAAAGAATTACAGTCTCTGAAGCCCACAGGGGCAGTTCTGCCCTATCCTATGGGGTCGCTATGAGTCAATAGTAGGGAGCACTGGCTCATTTAGTAGAAACATTTCTGCTGGCTTTCCACCAGTTCCTGGAGCCTTGTGTTTTCTCACCAGTGCCTTCAGTGCAGCTTGAACTTTTCTTTCTCTACATGATGCTCTGCCATCTGTTAGTTTGTCATACTGTGCCAGCTGGTGTGTTGCTGTGATGCTGTAAGCTTTGTCACTGGTATTTCAAATGCCAGCAGGGTCACCCAACGTGAATAGGTTCTAGCGGAGCTTCCAGACTTAAAAAAGAAAGACTCGACTCTCCACTTCAGCGGAAGGAGCCACTGAAAACATTATGCACGGCTTGGAAACATTGCTAGACACTGAAGGCCTGATGCGTGGAAGCAGAACATGGTCCCTGATGGTGCTGGAGGATGCGCCCTTCGGGTTGGAACACACTCTAATGTGACTGACGAGGAGCTGCTCTCTCAAAGTGGTCAATCATGCTGACATGGATGGAGGAAAGCCTGTGGGAGGGGAGCCTTTAGGATCTTCAGCTCAATGTAAAGAAGACCAAATCCTCACAGCTAGACCACTAAATCGGTAATATCATAAGTGGGGAAAAGAATGAAGTTCTCAAGGACTTCCTCTTGCTTGCATCCATGATCAATGCTCATGGAAGCAGCAGTCAAGAGATCAAATGATTATTGCATTGGGTAAATCTGGTGAACAAGATCTCTTTAAAGTATTGAAAAGCAATGATGTTATTTTGAGGGCTAAGGTGCTCCTGACCCAAGCCATGGTATTTTAAATAGGATCTTAGGCAGGTGAAAGTTGGACATTGAATAAGGAAGCCCAGAGAAGAATTCATGTGTTTGAATAGTGGTGCTGGTGAAGATATTGCATCTGGGGTCTTAAAAGCTGGAAGATAAACAAGCGACCATCTAGCTGAAAAGCAAAAAAGCCCACATGGAAGAAGCACCCCAGTCTGTGTGATCATGAGGTGTTGATGGGAGAGGTATCAGGCATCAAAGACCCCAAACAAAACAAAAAATCATATCAATGTGAATGAGGGGGAGGGCAGAGTGGAGACCCGAAGCCCACCAGTAGTCAATTGGACATCCCCTGTCAGAAGGGTCACAAGGAAGAGATGAGCCAGTCGGGGTGCAGTATAGCACTCACGAAACACACAACTTTCCTATAGTCCTTTAATGCTTCCTCCTCCCCACTATCATGACCCCAATTCTATCTTACAAATTTGGCTAAACCAGAACATATACACTGGCACAGATAAGAGTTCGTAACACAGGGAATGCAGGACAGATAAACCCCCCAGGACCAATAACGGGAATAACGATACTAGGAGGGTAAAGGGAAGGGGTGCGGGGAGGAGTAAGGGGAAACCGATCACAATGATTGACATGTGGTCCCCTCCCAGGGGGAAAGACGACAGCAAAGTGGGTGAAGGGAGACAGCAGTCAGTGTAAAATTTTATAAATTATCAAGGATTCATGGGTGAGGGAGGGTGGGGGAGAGTGGGAAAAATGAGGAACTGATAGCAAGGGCTCAAGTAGAAAGAAATGTTTTGAAAATGATGATGGCAACATATGTACAGATGTGCTTGACACGATGGATATATGTATGGATTGTGCTAAGAGCTACACAAGCCCCTAATAAAATGAATTTTAAAAAAAACTCCGTGTGTAGATGAGTATTGAAGATGGCTTTTGGCCTGGCTCAGGCATAGGCTGAAGGCTCTGTGTGCAGGCTGTGAAAGGCTTCCTGCAGAACAGGTGCCTTGCAGCTTTGGGCAGTCACACAATCCCTCTTTCGATGAGAGATTGAAGCTAGCACACTGATAATTACCCTGAGCTGTGGCTGGGCTTCAGACGGTAGCCAATATAGCAGGCTCTTCAAACTCAGAGTTCTGGGATTCCACTAGATACCTCTTCTCTGTTTTCACCAATAAAGTTCGTAGCGTTGATCAGAGCTATGTTCATCGCCTTGGTCCAATCCATTTGTCTTCCTCTACTACACAGGAGGCAGCAGTGAAAGATAATACTATGAATGAAATGCAGATAGAAATAGTACTCTCCTTTGTGAAGCTGACTTGGCTCTTAGGCCCATTCTCTTCTGTCTTAAAAATCCTTTCATTGGGGGGCTCTTGCAAATCTTAAAACAATCCATCATTCACTAGTATTAAGCACACTCGT